TCACCAGGTACATAATTCATGCTTTAGATCAACGAAAATAGACAACTGATGATTTAAATGACACTATGGGTCTTAACTTTAAAACCAAAAAAAAAAAAAAACGTACTATGGGGTACGGGTGTGGGTGTGGGTGCGGGCGTGACACCTGATGCTTTATACCTCAACATACAGCTCGGACCATACATTTGCCACCACACCTTGTCTTTGTTTTCTTTGTAAACTTTTCCCATCAAAGTGTTCAAGCAAGTAACACAATCGGTAGCGTTTATGCCTATTATGCACTGTACCATCCCATGAATCTTTCCCAACTTTATGCCACCATCTACTTCCTCATCTGCATAAAGTTGCGCTGACTGATTTACCTTGTCTATTAACTTTTTCATCAAGTTAATAGACTTTACATACAAATCGTGATCGGTTATAGTTCCCGCGCTCATGTACGCGGGAACTGTCTCCATTTTACCAATGATTTTGACATCAGAGTAACGCAGCATGCAGTTATCGTACCACGTAATTGCTGTTTTTTGTACACTGCAAGTTTTAATGATAGCCTTGGAAGCGGTAATGACACAGTCTCTACAATCTTCAACAGAGACATCACCTAGGCAGAGTAACATGCCTTCCACGATGTTGGGAGCGACTCCTGATGTAGCCGTGTAGAAACCAGAGGCAGTGGATGAGTTTGAGGAGACAGATAGTTTTGTGAGCATATCATTTAGATTGAATTCATATTTGCTATCTTTCGTGAAGTTTCTTGCATTTGAACAATTTTCATTGACTAAGATCGGGTTCTTGGCGTTTCCCGCAAGGAAACCGAAAAAGAAGAAAGAAGAAATGACCATGCATATGGATTTGGAATGACCCATATTTAGGTTTTTTTTTTGTCTGAACTTTGTATTTTTTGTTATAAGAACCTATATTATCTCAGAACCAAGCTATATATAAAGATTAGGAATTTAGGACAAAGAATCAAAGAGGAATTGCTATTTTATATCCATGTAAACATCAACTATCGATACCCTAAATTGGAATTGCTCAACCACGCAACCTTATTTATTATTTATGCTTTGATTTGCACTCATTCTGGTGTGTTACATGGTGTTGTAATTGACTAAGTGTTTTTTTTTTTATAAAACGAAATTGACTAAGTGTTTCGAATAAACTTTTAATCAAAGCAAGAAGTTTTATTCGTATGATGCGTTCATTTTGACTTTGACGACCTTTTTACCTAGAAACGATCTTTTCTTGAGAACGTATATAATAGAATAATTTGCTGAAGAGAAAATTACTTCAAATAGCACCTAAAAGTAGGTTAAATTACGGGAAATTTGAGTGTATAACCAAAAAAAAAACTTTAATTAACTGACTAACTATTCTAACCATAAGACTACAATATTCTATGTGTAATCTATAATAATGACATGTTTGCCCATGTTGCCATGGTACACAGTTTATTTTTGTCTTTTCTTCTTCTTTTTTTTTATTTTTTTAATCCTTGCCTCTCTTCTCTCTTTCTATTCTATTACCGTAACAAAATATATAATATATATAACTAGAAAGCTGCCCACGCGATGCGTGGGTTAAATATTTAATATTAATTTTGGATAATAATGAAATTTGTACTAAAGTAATACATTCAATTATTAATATAGTTTTTTGAAAAGAATTTTTTAAAATATTAACTTTTATGTTCTTTTTCGAAGTACTTTTGTGAATTGCTAAAAAATAAATTCTGTTTTTTTTTTTATTCAAGATAGTATGACATAAATATATACCACTACTTTTTCTTTATTTATATAAAATATTTTATTGTAAAAATATATATATCATACCTCATCGTAGAGTCTCTTGTTTGCTGCTTCATGATCCTTGGATCGGGAAAACGGCCAAAATCAACTCCAACTATTTCTATGCGGCTTTTTTCATCCCAAACTTTGACACTCGGAACTATCAACCCGAACTCATACAATTTAAAAAAAACAAACCTAAGCTATCTAACTGTTATCCAATTTCAACACAGTTTTTCTTTTTGTATTTGTTAATGTCGATTAGAATTGTTAAGTCGTAATTATATGTTCTTTTTTGTATCTGAATCATTCCTTTTAATCAATTGGCTAAAGGTTAAATAATTCAGGTTTGTTACATTATTTAATAACATGTATATGTTAAAATTGGCTAACGATTACATAGTTCAAGTTTGTTATTTGACATTTATGTGGTTTCGAGTTGATAATTGGGGTTGATATTGGCCGTTTTCCCTCGTTGGATCTCATCAGAAAGTAGATCTTCCCGATCTCATGACTTTCCCTCGACAATAAGGTTTAGATATTATATCCATATAATCCATAATAAAATTAGGAGATCAAAAGTTAAAAATCTATAATGAGCAAAAACATATAAAATAAGGTTTTTTGCTAAATTTTATCTATATATGTTAAAAATTTAAGAAAAATTTAAATAATTTGTGATAATGATTAAATTTAATAAAATAGCAAGGTGGTCCAAATGAGCAAAAACATATTATATATATGTTAATTTGGGTATTTCACATCTCTCTCTCGCTTCCGACTCAGAACAGCTAGTCAAAGCTTTAAAATCGGAGCTTCAACACAAGGAGCTTCATAGGATTCTCTTCGATATCCTGAATTTATCTTCTACCTTTGATGTTATTTCGTTTAGTTTTATTCCCCGTTTGCAGAACTCAGATGCCGATTCATTGGCAAAACAGTCTCTGGTTTCTCTTGTAATGGGTCTAGCTCAAACCTAAGTTAAATTGAATCGGCCTTTGCGCAAAAAACAAATATATATGTTACACTTAATTATAATCATATTTAATTTAGGAAAATGACTTCAGATGATATAATAAAAAATTTATTTTTGAAAGTTTATATTATAAAATTTTGTTCAGTTTTAATATATATATAAATTCAATTGTTTAAAAACAAAATAAATATGCCATTTTATAAAATTTGTATATATATATATAGGTCATAAGAGTACAAAAATTTAATAAATATAATGTAATGCCGTTTATCTAAATACTTTAATGGCATGTTAGGTTTTAACTGAATTAGTCAATTATGATATTCTTTGCAAATACCCTTAGCAAAAATCCCATGAGGATATATTAAAAAAAAAACCTGTGGTGGAACTTTTTAAATTTTTTGGTTGAATTTCATTGGGTTGGTTTTATGGAAACTTTGATAAAAATAAATACAAATTTTATATTCTTTCATATGATCTTTATTTCTTACTTAATTTGTATGATAAACTAAAAAAAAATTGAACATAATCAAGTCAAATGTTATACAATATTAAAAATCAAAAAACTATTTACTCGAGATATATGAAACTCAAACGTCGATCTCTCTCAAACGTTGAGTAATTATGTAAAAGAAATAAAGAATGGCATAAACTATCTGATTTTTTTTTTGACTCATGATCCCATGAGTTTTACGTATTCAAGAACAAAATCATCTTGAAACAGCTTTACATATTCATAAATTTGAAAACAAACTCTTAACTTTTTGATAAGTGATGTTGAGAATAATTACATAAATGGTTTTTCAATTTATATCATAAATTTTTTAACAAACTTATGGTTTTCAAATTTATGAATACATATAGATCATAAGAGTGAAATTTTTTAATAAATATAATGTAATATCATTTATCTAAATACTTAAATTTATAATTACACTTTAACTGACCATAATAATAGATATAAATTTTCTCAATGTATGTATACAAATCTTATTGGTGAGTTGAAAAATAGAGAACAATTAAAAATAGGACTTTAAAAAAAAATAGAACACTTTTATGTAGAATTAATGGTGTTGGTGAACCTAACTTGAACAACATATGAAATCACAAACCTAACTTGAACACCAAATGAGAAAACTTTTGTAGATATTTTTACTATATGGACGATAGCCTGAAATAAAGAGAAAGCCACTAAAAGTCAATAAAAATAAAAGAACGGACTGGAAAAAGCAAAAACTCTACAATAGTTTTTTTAGCTTCACATTTGGAAAGAAGAAAAAAAAAGATATATTTTAAATAAAAAAAGTTAGATTGGAAAGAAGAAAAAAAAACAGAGACAAATTAGAAAAGATTAGAAATGTATTTTATGGAGATATTAAAATATTATGTAAGATAGAAAAGTGAGGAAAACAATTAAATTTAAAAATAGATGCCAAATGTACTAATATTATGAGAAGTTTAAAAAATGTACTAATATTTTGTGAAGTTAAAATTTTACTGATCCATAATTTTGAATCTAGATGAATAAGTGGTGATTTTAAGTAGATAATAATTTTGGCAAAACAAATTAGATACAAATTTCAATTTAAATACATGTCAAATGTATCAATAGGATAAGAGAAATGTCTTTTTTGGAATTAAATTGTAGGCACAAACTTTCAAAGCTAAGGATTTTAAATAAATTAAAACAAACATTAATGAAATGAAAGAGGACACATGTCACCAAAAGAGAGTGCCAAATGTCGCAATGGTAGGTAAAGTTAGAAGAAAACCTTCTCATATTATATAAAAGTTAATATCACAATGGCATACTTTCTCACCTTCTCTTTCAATATAACACACTTTTGTCTTTTAACTGTTTAAGTTTGGGTGTTATTACATAAACACCCTCAACTCATCGATTCCCCTTTCACCCTACACGAAACTCATCGACTCATCTTCTTCTTCCTCAGACAACAACAACAACAAAAAAAAGCTTCACTTTCTCTCGACCCTTCTCTCTCTCTCTCTGAAAGTCTCTCTCTTTGCCCCTCTTCGTCGCAATCTTCTACACTTGGGGCTGCGATTCTTCCAATCCTCCGATTTCAATTTTGAAATCATAGTTTGAAATCATCGAGCTTTACCTCCGATTTCAATTTTAATTGGGTCTCTGGGTTGGATTGGATTACGTAATTCCGTTGGATGTTCCTATTTCGCGTTCAAAATTAGGGTTTATAGAGGTCTCGCCTATGGCTCCTGGGCGTTAAACCGAGTTAAGGAGGAAACACCTCTGGGATCGTCAATTGCTTATGCCGTCTCCGACTCGTGACTCATTGAGCCATCCTGAGTTTAACCGAGTCCCCGATCTATGCGGATTCATTAACCGATTCAACGTCGAGCGACTCGTTCCTACATCAGTTGTCTTCGAGAGACAGAAACTTAACTAGCTAAAGAAGCTCGCGAGTCGACTCGGTGAGTGCAATTCTAAACACACATCATTCGAGGTACTCTCTGCACATGTATGGCGGAGCTGGGCGAGATCACTGAACTTGCCATCGAACCAGATCCTTAAGCTTTTGTTTAGCATCAACATTAGAGACCGAGTCAAACTGAGTCTACCCAGTGGATTCTACGGGAACGCATTCGTCGTCGGATGTGCTCAAACCACCGTGAAAGACTTGACGGAGAGAGGATTAAACTACGCGACGATGCTCGTGAGACAAGCTAAGGAACGAGTCGGCGACGATTACGTAAAATCGGTGGTTGAAGCTGTGAGCAATGAGATAGCGAGTCCCGACTCGGTTGGAGACTTGGATTCATTAACTTGATTGTCAATAGTTTCTCAGGGTATGGATCTCGATTAATGATCTGATTTTGTTTAGGAACTCTTGTTTTGTCAATGAATTTGAGATCGATGAGTTTGTTGTTTCGTTTAGCTTTTTAACCGCCATGGTTACGTTTGGAAGCTTTGCTTTGTAGATTTTCATGTGTCATCCGGTTCCGATTATGTGTTTTGGATCAAATTTTCCTATTGTTTTGATGATTTCTTAGTATCGGACTTTGCCGTTGAAGCTGAAGATTGATAGTGTTTCTCCTCCGGATTCCAAATCTATGTGCTCTTTTCGATTTGTCTGGTTCTTTTACGGAAACACATGAAGACTTCGTCGTAGACGAAGAATTTAGATCGCTATGATGATTGGAACTAGTGTGTTGATGATTAAGTTTCGATATTTGTTTGATTTCTTCTTACATGTGATCGAACATGGCTTCAAGATCTTGTTAATATTAAATGGTCAAATCCCTTTGGGGTAATGTGGTATATATGGTTGTTTGAATCTATCTTGTAATGGATATGAACAAATGGATGGCTAAATGAATTGGAGTCAATTTTATTAAATGGATATGAACAAATGGATAGATATAAAGAAACATATGGCTAAAAGATTAGACGTTTGTGTCGTGATTTTTAAATTTTAATGTCCAAAATTATAAAACATGTTATATATTACACCATATATAGTTTTCATGGTCAAGTTTAAGTGGACATATTATTTTCCACACAAACTATCATTAACTACATGTACTTGTTCTGAAATTTTCATGTACTTTTTCTCTTTTAGATATCTAGAAAACTTAATTAGATACAAAGACAAAGCTTTGTGGTGATTGTATATGAAAGATCAATCAAATGGTAAAATCGTTATTTTAAAACCGATGAATAAACATAAATTTTGTTCGAAGTAAAGGTCCAGTCCATATAGATAATAGGTTTTTAGTTTGAACTTAACAATTATATTATTTTCTTGATTTAGTCTCTTAATGGTCATATCCTAATGGACGCCGAGAAATTAAAAGATGTCAATGTATATGGTCACGTTCACATGGATACCGATAATACCTTTCATGTGTTCCAATTTTGATTTACTTTTTTTTTCTCTAATGGAAGCCGACGAATCGACATAAATTTTGTACTAACTAAAGGTCCGATCTTGATTATGTAATATTGTTAAATCCGAAAGGTTAGATTTTGATTTAAACAAATTTACATATAGGTTTGGATTTATAAGGTATGTGTTAGGGTTTAGTGCTATACATTTAAACATGTTAAACATATCGGTATTGGGTTTAATAATGAAGGAGTTATGATATATTGATATATATTTAAGATTTACAGTTTTGATAACTAAAGATTCTTGCATTTTATCGTTTTCCACCCTCCTCTATCCATGCAATTTATCATCCTCTTCATAGTGAACAAATGTTCAACCACAAGTAAATAATGTGTACTGTGGAGGAATATGAATTTTGATTAATTTGAATCAATTAGTACCCCGATAGCATCTGCTTAGGGATCTTCACGTAGGAACTCGTAACCACCAAATGACAGGTTTCTTCATAGTTTTTATTAAGCTTGCAAACCTAACTTCAAACTTATCATTTTTGCCCATAAAATCATGTCCAAACGATGTTTTCCATATGGTCGGACGAAGTAACATATCTGTTTGGGTGTAGGAACCAATATGGGTTAGGGGTAATGTAAATAAAATAAGGGCTTGATGGTCAGTTATATGTGGACATCATTTGTTCCAAAATAGAGTTCATATGTTCAAATGTTCGCAAATATTGTATAGAAATGCTTGAGAGATATTAATTTTAACCATGTATTCAGTGTTGGATGGTTAGATAAACTTTAAAAAACATGTATAATAGTAAAATATGATGGTTTGGGGTTTAGTGGATTACTGTTTAGGGTTTATTTCTTGAACATAATGCAAAATTACCATATCTATAATGATGGTAATGTCCATACACAAGTGAATATTGGTCAATGAAAAATGGACGTTGTGCTTTTAATTGATGATTATCATTCATGTATAAACTTGTGTATTGATATAAAACAACTAATTAAATAGAAAACGATAATTGATCCATACAACTCTAACTATATGGTCAACATAAAATGATCGGTAGTTAGAAATGTTGGTGTAGTATATTTGTTCAAGTATCTGTAGATATTGTCTGTTTGGATGTGTTTGCGTGTGTGGTTGTTTACAAAAACAGAGTTCATATGTTCAAATGTTCGTGGGCATTTTATATAAATGTTTGAGATATATTAATGTTAATGATATGTTTAGTATTGGATGGTCGGATAAACAAAAAAAACATACCTAATAGTAAAATATGAACAAGAGACTTGTCCAGAGTTTGACGGATGTATAATCTATCGAAAAACATTATCTTTATTCATTTTTGTGATAAGAGTTTAGCGAATATGTTTAGATGATCGATAGTGAAAAATATTGGTGTAGTATATTTGTTCAAGTATCTGTTGACATCCATATTATAACAAACAAATGTTCTTGATAGGTTTTTAGTTTGAACTTAACAATTATATTATTTTCTTGATTTTGTCTCTTAATGGTCATATCCTAATGGACGCCGAGAAATTAAAAGATGTCAATGTATATGGTCACGTTCACATGGATACCGATAATACCTTTCATGTGTTCCAATTTTGATTTACTTTTTTTTTTCTCTAATGGAAGCCGACGAATCGACATAAATTTTGTACTAACTAAAGGTCCAATCTTGATTATGTAATATTGTTAAATCCGAAAGGTTAGATTTTGATTTAAACAAATTTACATATAGGTTTGGATTTATAAGGTATGTGTTAGGGTTTAGTGCTATACATTTAAACATGTTAAACATATCGGTATTGGGTTTAATAATTTTGGGTATTGGGTTTAGAGGTTAAAAGTTTAGTGTTTAAGGTTTAGTATTTAGGGTTTGTGGTATAGAGTTTAGGGCTTAGGGTTTATTATGTTAAAGTGTCATTTACTCTTTAAAAATCAATCAAATGGTTAAATCAGTAGTTTAATGGATATGTTTGGATGGTCAGAAATTACAAATGTTGGTGTAGTACTTGAACATCCATTTAATAATAAACAAATGTTCAACCGGAAATGGATAACATGTAATATAATAATTCACTTAAAATATATCAACAATGGATCTTAAAATGTAGGAAAAATTAAATCTTAGTTTATTATATAAAGGAAAAAATTAATAGATGTGATATTAAGTAACTAAAGTGATAACAAAAAGAGAATGAAAGAAAAAAAAAAGAAAAAAAAAAATTGAAAAACAAGTCTGTAAAGAGGAGAAGAGTGTTTGCAACGATTACTCTCACAAGATGATTCATAACACAAGCCTTATATAATTCAGGGGCATTTTCGTATTGATTAGAATTGTACAGTGTAAAAAAGATGAAAAACTCAGAAAGTGTCTATTTTGATATGAAACTCAACAAAAGTATGCCAGAGTGAAATTCTCCCTATTATATAAGATACAATTATATGAAACCCACAATATACCTATCACATATATTATTTAGGCATCACCTCCACCACCACGTCACCATTATTACTGTCACCGCCACCACCAACATCGAGAACACTACCACCTTCATCATCGTTACCATTAGTGCCACCACAACCATCATCGACACCACCACCACCACTATCGTCACCACCACCATCACCGTTAACACTGTCAATATCACCGCCACTGTTTACCTCGGTTGCTTGGGTTGCCAATGTTGTATCTCCTAGGGTTTACTGTTTTTTTTTCAACGTGCGTTTAGTTCGGTTGTTTGAGTCGTTTATGTTTTATCTCTCACGGTTATCGTCATTATTACCGCAACCAACACTATTATCCCACCACGACCACCGCAACCAACACTATTATCCCACCACCACCACCGCAACCATAACCATTACGATCACTGTAACCCCACCACCATCAATATCACCACGTCTTAACTACCACGATCATTGTAACCACCACTATATCGTTACTTTCGCCACCACCACCATGCTTCATTCCATACTATTTCATTTAATTCTATATTATTTCATTTATGCATTTGTATAATCTAATTTTAGTGTGCGTTTAACTCGGTAGTTTGGGTTCCTTATGTTGTATCTTTTAGGGTATATCTTTCTTTATTTGGCTTGTGTTTAACTAAAAATGTTGAGTATCTTTTAAAGTATATCATTCTTTTTTTTCGTGCGTTTAACATGATCGTTTGGGTTTTTTATGTTGTATGTTATAAGGTATAGTACTTTTTTATGTTATCCATTTAACACAAAATTTCTAAGGTTCATGAGTCATTTCATTCTATACTATTTTCTATTTCATATTATGTGATCCTTTTAATCAAAAATATTGAATTTAGAATACTTTTTTAATTTCTTCATAAGTTTGTATCTAATTTTAAAAATTCAAATCATGTTATATACAGAAAAAAATCTAGTTTTTTATTTTTAAAGAATCATGAACTTAAATTAATATCTATAAACATAAATATGAGTTAAATTTTAGAAGGGGTGAAAAGAAAATAATGAATAAAATAAATAAATTGAATTTCTCTCTCATGCCAACTCACCACGTGTGTTAGCGCTTCTCTTCCTCTCCTCCTCTAAATGAACACTAAAAATGTAATTTTACCCACCCTTTATGTTAGTTTCTTAGTTATTTGAATTATGGTGCTATATTCTTAATTCTTTTATCTAAATTGGTTATTGAGCTAAATGCCCCAATTACTGAGATAGCATTTTCTTAAGGAGGTTTACTCAAATAGCACCTAAAAATTGCTGAAGGTTTACTGAGCTTTTTTTAAAATCTGTATTTATAATGTGCCATTTAGAATTTTTTTTAAAAAAGATTAAAAGTTAGATAATATGAAGAACCAAGATCACTACAACCCTAAGAAGAAGAGCTCCTGTGAGTGATCAATAGCTCCTCTGTCCCACTCAGTCATGCTCCTCCGTCGCTCTTCCTCCTCTGCCGCGACACTGTCGTTGTCTACGGCGTCCAGCGACCCGCCCCATACATTCCTGGGATGCATTGCTAAGGAGCTTTGGATGATTAGTTTTTTTATTTTGAGAAGAAATATAGAAATGTAGATGAAAACTAGAATGACCCAATATTTAAGTTAAAAAAACAAAAACCCATTTTTGCCATTTCTATTTATTTTTTATTGAATAAACTAATAAAAAAAATAGATAAGTCTGTCGTAATAAGTTTAACCCAGATTTCGTGAAACAAATATGTCATAACCTAAGATTAAGCCTTTCGTAAACTGATAATGAAGCTTCAATAAGAAAACAAATTTTGTAACCATTGACAAAAACTTATACTTTAAAAATCAGTCAGTGGCAAAGAGAGATCCATCATCGTTGGATTCAAAATACAAGTCTGTTGTAACATTAAACAAGTCTGTTGTCATTGTAAAGTTCACTAGAGTAGTTTCCTCTTTCATTATCTAATCTGCTATCAAAAGCTAGAGTCTTGGTGACCTTAACTAAATCTGTCAGGAAGTCAATTAAATATGTCTTAACATAAAACATATGGAGTATGTGCCGTATATAGGTCAATCTAGCAAATTTTAAAAAAACAAAAATTCTCTTATTAAATGCCAAATTTTTGTGAATATTAAAAAAATCTGTCATTACCTAAAACAGATCTGTTATCACTTTTTTTTTTTTGACATCTTTGGATCGACAAGGCCCGATCCATAGCCAATCCCTACTACGCAGGGTAACACGACTTACTGGAGTCGAACTCCGGTGAGAAAGGCGGAGTCAAATGAATTTAACCACTTGACTAAAGGCACATCCCCCACAGATCTGTTATCGCTATATGACAGATTTTTAGACAAATTTGTTACTGTATGGCAGATTTATGTCAAAAATAATAAGTGTGGCGCTACTAAAAAAATAAATCTGCCACACATTATAATAAATCTGTCAAAATTATGAATATCTATCGTGTCATCATAAAATAATTCTGTCAAAAATATAAATCTGCTACAAATTAAACTATGTCGTAACTATATTTAAATAAGTCGGTGGGACAAAAAATTATGGCGAAGAAAATCTGTTGTAGATAAATAAGTCTTTTGTTAAAATATAAATCTGTGACAAGTAGCTTTTATCATTTTAGGTATTTTTCCCACAATGGAAATTTTTTTCATGGTATTTTTGAGTTTTTTTTTTTAATTCCTAACAAAGCAACAAAAAGGTATTTAGGTCAATCTAGTTTTTTCCTTATATATATCCTATAATTTGGTCTAATTTTTTGTTCTGAACACGTTAAACTTCTTTAAATCAAGGTAATGCAAAAAATTTAACAAAAAATGGAAATGCAACTGCTTGCTTACTAGTACTATTCATGGGTAATCAAAATTTTAATTGCGACTAATCTCCAAAATTAATGTAGTCGTCGAGTAGTCTATTCACCAGATTTTTCAATAAGTTTAAAGTTATGGTAGTATTTCGATTGGTAAAATTAGAATAATCTAAGTAATTCTATGCTTGATGATAATTGATCATTGATTTTAAACATATGTTTTGGTAAATGACATGGTTACAGCATAAAACTCAAATCAGTTCTGTTCAAGTTGATTCAGATTTACTGTTTTGGACACATCTCTACCACCGGAAGTTTTTTTTTTTAACAATCACATATTAGTTAAAAACTAACTCTTTGGTTACCCAATTTGGAAGAAAAGAGTTTACAAAGTTGACTTCAAAAAATAATAATCTAGAGTATCAAGCTAAACAATCCTCCTTAGAGTTACATATACGAGATATATAAAAAATCAAAAAGAGGGGAAAAAAGACGGAGCAATCCAAAATCATCTATTAGATTAGAGATATCGAACCATTCTTCATGAAATTGCACCACGAGACTAGTTCTGTACAATTTAGTTCAAATGCCTAACAGTCAATCTTTCTTGAAGGAATATTCTTCAAAGTCAAAATTAAACCTTCCATTTTCGAGTGAAGAGGCAGACGGACACCTCCGAAGAAACTTTACACCGAGAAATACTGTTTGATCATTTCTTTGAAAACACCACCATCCTTGGCCCGTTGTTGGATCCGAAAATTTTCATGAACCGTAAGTTTAATAATCAAATTTAATAACATATTTTAATTTATCCTGCCTTGTATATCATTCATCCCAAATTTCAAATTTTATTTCTTATTCATATTATAAAACTAAATACGCATTTTAATATCAATTAAAATACTACAACCGTATATCTTTTATTTATTAATTAACGTTAATTCAAAAATATATTATCTCGTGTTATAGCACGGGCTAGTACCTAATATATATCATGTTTAAACAATATTAATATCAATCATATCGGGTGGTTAACATTATAACCAACCCAATAAATAAATATTTAAAAATTTATATAAATACAATATAGATTTTTTTTGTCAACGGCTTTAATTGATTTAGCTCAAAAAAGTCAATTCTGCGGAATATTGTTTACATATGTAAAAAAATATCGTATGGCTCTTTGAAGGATATTTATGTATTTAAAATCACTGTAAACAAATAAATTAGAAATTCTAAAGTTAGAAATGGAGTGACTTTAATTATCTTTCCGAAAAATGTTTCTCCATGTAGTTATGCTATTTCCTATGTCGGCACAAAATTGCTCAGACCCTAGATTTTTGTTTCTAAATTTCCCTTTGCTTTATCTTTCGGTTTGCGCATGGTAAAGCAGAGGACTACTGCAACTCAAGTTAGATTTTACGATTGACAATGAGTCAGTGACAATGGTTGTTCCACATTCTATATATGTTACTCCAGTGTGCAAGAACTTTTCAAGTTATTGTATAGGATAGTGACAATAAGCAAAGAGATATATATATACACATCAGGAATAAGAAAGTTTCATGAATCAGATCAAGACTATTGAAGAACTCCTTTAGTTGAAGATGAGTCTAAAATTTAAAGTTTCTTAAATTTAAACCAAACCACTAATGAGATTTAAAAAAAAAATTACAAAAAACCTAAGAAATCTCTGAAATATCCTAATAATCACCTAAATCACACAAAAATATTCAAATCCTAATCCAATATAACCCATAAATCAAGTCAATACTGGTAATAAATTATTTATTAATAATTCAAAATATTCATACTACAACAAAGTTTGTAAGTAAAAACACTGTTTTGGTGTAGTTTAGGGAAGTCAACCCAAAATCTTTTATATATATAAATGGAGAGAGTATTTAGTCATGCTACAAATTTCAGGTCGATGAACCATAAAAACCATTAATAGTATAAAATCGAATAGAATATGACTGAATATTCTTTAGCAATTTAGCACTAATATTTTGCATTTAGTTTCAATGTATTCATTTTCATTTATGGGAATGATTGAATTTTTTATTTTATTTTATTGTTTTTTTTTTTTGAATCTAATGTTAAATTATATTCAAAAGAAAATAAACGTTTTTACATATGACTGCAAACTTTTTTAAAAACAACTATTTAGTGCTTTTATTCCTAATGTTGTCTTGATGCAAACCACATTTGAAGTCCACCCGCGTATCCTTCATCTCCTCCTCTCCTTATTGTGCTCAAACGGTTTCTAAGGTTCTTGTCTATCAACTTCACTATCTTCTCTGTCGGTGAAGGTTGTTCGCCATGCCTCCTGTCGTTTCTTTCTCGCCAAATGGAGTGGATGGTGTTCTGAAACACATACCTGACTATGAAACCCTTCGTCTTGTCAAGGTCCTTCTTCGCAAGCATTGTCATGATTTCCAGCCATTTTTCGGTGAAGTTGTTCAATAGAAGTCCACTGACCAGCTCCTTCCACACCGTTCTCGAGTAAGGGCAGCTAAAAAACAGATGGTCTCTTGTTTCTCTAGGATCTTTGCAGAAGACGCAGCTCGCATCCACATTCTGATTCCATTTGATCATTCTATCCCCTGTAGCGATTCTGTTTTTCGCGACCAACCATGTGAAGAAAGCATATTTTGGAGTAGCATTTGAAAACCAAATATCTTGGTACCCTTGCATCAGAGGTTTAGATATTCGGATTTGTGACCATGTCTCCCTCGATACAAATTTCTTGCGGTAGCAATCATTTTTTCCTTTCCATAAGACAATGTCATATTCAGTTTCTGTCCTGCTTTGTTTCTGTTTCCTCACTTCCTCTTCAATAAGATTTAGTAGTCTTTGTCGATGCTTTCTCTTCTTAGTTCTGTTCATCACGTCAGCAAGAGTGCTTGATATCGGAATGCCCATGTCAATGCAGCCTCGATCTCCTAGTTTTTCATGCAGACAGCCCAACGTGCTCCATGGATCAAACCAAAAAGAAGTTTGTTCACCATTCTTTACTTCTATCCGATAGAACTGTTTCGCTACTACTCGATATTTCAGAATTTTTCGCCAAATCCATGATCCACAAGATGTGTTTTCCTTCACAGCCCAAAATGAACCCCTTCTTAGAAGATGTCTTTTAATCCAGTCCACCCATAAAGAGCCTGTAGCCGACAAGAGTCTCCAGATCAGTTTTAAAATACACACCTTGTTTGCCTCTTGTATTGAGCGTAGCCCCAAGCCTCCTTCACTTTTGGGAGTACACACTTCCGACCATGCTACTTTTGCTTTCTTTGGGTTCAGGGAGGGGCCAGACCATAAAAAAGCAGAACACATCTTATCTATCTCATTGATGCAAGCTTTTGGAAGTCTAAAGGCTGCAATCCAAAAATTTGTTAGACTAAAAATCACAGAGCTGATCAACTGGAGCCGTCCCGCAAAGGAGAGAGTTCGAGCAGTCCATGAGCTTATTTGTGACCTTATTTTCTCCAACAGAGGTAAGTAGTCCGACGCTGTCATCTTCCTCGTTAATAGAGGCAGTCCAAGGTAACGAACCGGTAGTGAGCCCTGTTCGAATGGGAATTGATGCAGAATTTCCTCCTTGTTGATTGTAGCTACACCGGCCATGTATAATGTGGATTTCTCAAGACTAATTTTTAGACCGGAGTGGGCTGCGAAGTCTTCAAAAACCGCTAGAGCACCTTCAATTGATTTTTTGTTTCCATCGACAAAAACCATCAAATCGTCTGCAAAACATAGATGAGTGAGCTTCATTTGCTTACAGTTCGGGTGAAAGCCAATTTTTCTGTCACTTGCAGCCTTGTCTAGCTTGCGAGATAATACATTCATGCAGATGACGAATAGATAGGGACTGAGCGAGCAACCTTGTCGCAGTCCTCTTTCGCTATTAAAATACCCTGCAAGTTCTCCATTTACTTGCACCGAAAAAGAGGCTGAGGTGACGCAAGTCTGTATCCAAAGGACGTATTGCTCTGGAAATCCGAGGGCTCGCAGTGTGTTGAGTAAAAACCCCCACTGAACTGAGTCGAATGCTTTGGATATGTCTATTTTCATTGCACAACGAGGTGAGACAGAGTCTTTGTGATAATCTTTGATAATTTCTGTAGCGAGCAGAAGATTTTCCATTAACAATCTGTCTTTTATGAAGGCTGATTGATTTGGAGATATAAATTTCGGGAGAATGGTTTTAAGCCGGTTCGCAAGGATCTTTGAGATTACCTTGTATAGTACGTTGCAGCAAGATATCGGCCTATAGTCTCTCATAACTTTTGCTTCTTTCTTTTTTGGTATCAAAGCCAAGATAGTTGAGTTTACTCCCTTTGGTAAAAATCCTGTCCTGAAAAAAGATTGGATCGCTACCACAAAGTCTTTGCCCACTATCGACCACGATGCCTTGAAAAATTCACATGTGAACCCGTCTGGTCCTGGGGACTTATTTGCTGGCATTGCAAACAGAACTTTCCTTACTTCCTCCTCCGACACATCATTTGTGAGCATTTGCTTGTCGTCTTCATCACATTTAAAATTCAGAATGTTTTCAAGCTCCTCCCTTGACCATTCCGTATAAGCTGCAGGTTTCAGGGATAGAAAATCCTTGAAGTATCTCTCTGCCTCAGCCTTAATGCTATCTTGAGTCCCTGCAATTGTTCCATCTTCACACTGAATCTCTCGTATATTGTTTCTAATTTCCCGGACTTTTGCTGCTGCGTAGAAGGCTTTATTATTCTGGTCACCCGTGTTCATCCAATGGAGCTTTGCCTTTTGTTTCAAATAACCCTCCTCAATTTCCGACAGTCTCTTCCACTTTTCATATGCATCAGCCTCCGCATTAACAGTTTGCGTTGATGGAGCAGACATTGTCGCTTCCTGCAAGTCACAAAGTGTCTTGTAAGCTTCCTTAGTCCGAATTGATATGGCACCAACAACCTGTTTTCCCATCCTCCTTAGTTGTGGTTTCAGCCCTTTCAATTTCTTAGATAGCCTATGAATTGCGGACGTGGAGTGGAAGAGTGGAGGGGATAGTTTCCAGCTCTCCTCTAGTTCTTTGTGGTATCCAGCATCTGTCGTCACTGTATTCAGAAACTTAAATGGTCGTTTTACCCTCTTCGCCTCTTCAGATATATAAAATCTACATCTCAAGTGGTCTGAGCAGCCTCCTGGTTCAAAAACTGAAAACGATTGCCCGTACTGCTGCGTCCATTTCCTGCTCACTAAAACTCTGTCCAACTTTTTACATATTACTCCCTCATGTCTTTTATTACACCATGTGAATCTCTGGCCTTGATAACTCAAATCAGTAAGTTCACAGTGTCTCACTAGGTCCTGAAAATCCCGCATCCCTGGTGGTATAAATGGTGAAGAATCATACAGAGAATGATCATCCCCCTCCAATATCTCATTAAAATCTCCACATATAAGCCAAGCTTTATCTTGAAACAGAGGAGATTCATGGTGGTATCGTAAGTCATTCCAAAGAGTTTTCCTTTCAGCAGCAAAGTTTGAGGCATAAATGAAAGAGACAAAGAATTCTTCTTTTCTTCCTTCTATGTATATTGAGCAAGTGATGAGCTGTGAGGTCTTATAAAGCGGAGTGACCCTTACATTATTCCTCCACACTAGCCATAGCCTGCCTAATCGATGATCTTCATAATTTGAGAGTAAAGACCAGTCTTTAAACACTGAATTAACTATCCGTTCAGCTCTTCCTTCTTTTACTTTTGTTTCTATCAAACAACCAAAGTCAAATTTTCCCTGCTTCATCCAATCTCTTACCACTCTATGCTTACTTTTTTTATTAAAGCCCCTAATGTTCCAGAAAAATCCAGACATTAATGATCTTTTGGAGTTGGACGTGTTCGCATATTACTTGGATTTGGAATCCTAGCATTCTGCGTTGCATTTGTGGAGAGAAATTTGTGACCATCTTTAGAAGCTCTAGGGAGCGACTCTCGCAGTGTCACACCCACTCCTTTCTTTTCACTATGGTTTCCCACTGCAGTTGTACTTTGAGTTGTTTCTTCCAGCTGTGTTACTTCCTCGCTAACCTTTTCTTTCACCAAGTCACTTATTTCTGCCTCTTTTGCATCAATATCCTCCCCTTTCTCTCCCTTATCACTAAGACAAGAGAAAGAGTTTGACATAATTGATACCTCTCCATAACGCAACTCTTTGTTTTATTGTTTCTTTAAAAGTTAAAAACACAACCATTTGGAGCCTAAAATGTTACGAGTTTTAGGTTTCTATTGAACGTACAAACGTAGTATATATATATATATATATATATATATATATATATATATATATATATATATATATATATATTATGTGACTCACAAGTCATAAACAACCAAAGTAGCGAAATAGATAAAGAGAGAAATGGTAGATTGGTTTAACTTACCGGAGGAGCTCCTCCACTTGATCGCTGCCCGATTGTTCTCGGTCGTGGAACTCAAACGGTTCAGCAGTATCTGCTCATCATGGCGCTCATCTGTTTCCGGCGTGAACAAAAACTATCCTTTCCCGAGACGGCCTGTCATCCACTTTAATCCCATCGCCCCTAGCGAGACCATACTACACGACCATGTCTACCGCTGCGACCCCGGCGCATTCCTCTCACGCGCCGCCTTCTTCCGAGTCACTCTTTCCTCCTCTCCGACCAAGGGCTGGATGATCAAATCCGATGTGGACATCAACTCCGGTAGATTCCGTTTCCTCAACCCTCTCTCACGTTTTCCATTGCGCCATTTTTCCGAGGGCCTCAATCTTTTGGAGTTCACTATCTCCGAGATTCGAGAAGCCTACGCAGTTCTTCAAGATGCCAAGGGAAGGATAACAACTCCCGGATTCCAAAAAAGTGTTCTTGTCAAAGTCAAGGAAGGAGAAGATCATCATCATGGAGTTCTCGGAATTGGTAGGGAAGGACATATCAACTACTGGGATGGAAATGTCTTGAAGGAACTCAAAGAAATGGGTGATCACTTCTCCGACATTATAGTTCACAAAGGAGTAACTTACGTCTTGGATTCAAAGGGCATTGTTTGGTGTATTAATTCAGATCTTGAAATCTCTAGGTACGTAACTTCACTCAATGAAAACATAACTAATGGCTGTTGGGTACACTTGAGATTTGTGGAATGTTGTGGAGAGCTTTATGCTGTAGAACGCATCCCCAAAGAGAATCCCCGAAAGAGAAAATCGAATTTATTTCACTATTCTAAAACGGCCGGTTTCAAGGTTTACAAGATGGATGAGGAATTAGGAAAATGGATAGAAGTGAAGACCTTGGGTGACAATGCATTTGTTATGGCTACCGATACTTGTTTCTCGGTTTTGGCTCATGAGTTTTACGGATGCCTCCCAAACTCTATTTACTTCATTGAGGAATTATGGCCTAAGGTGTTCCAGCTAGATAATGGTAATGGAAGTAGTATCACTAGCAAGTCGGAATCTTCCGAGAGTTCTTTCCAAATGTTTTTTCCTAGCTTTCTTTGAATCTTGTTTAGGTCAAAGCTACTATCTTTACAATTAAGAGTACCAATCATCTCTAATAAAAAGCTTACTTTTCATCTTTATAGACAAAGCAATGCAAAATGATGAAGCATAGATATGTCTTAATTAATACTACCATAGCTTCACATAAAGATATTTAATGAACATTACCTCATATAATACTTTACCATTTGAATATGAGACTATGAGTGTCCTTGAAGAGTTCCTGCTTCCACAACCGAAATGTGTAGGGCTTTTTCCATCTTTCAAATAAGATGTTGTTATTCAAAGGTTAACCATTATTTAAAAACAAAAACTCTTAAAAACAATTAAGAGAATTTTAGATACAACTTTTAGTAGGGATCACAAAAGTCACACTTTAGACATGAATTTCGGAGGGATTTCAATATAATTAAAAGTAATGTTAACCACTTCTGAGTTTTTATTACACAGTTTTGAAATGTATACGTATAATTTTTTAAACAACGTATGTATTTTTTGTGATGTGGACATACAACTTGGAGATCCTCTATGTTATTAAGAGCTTCTTACACACGTTTTTAGCTGCATCAAACCACATCAAATCAAGACAATTCATGTAAGACTCGAATTGTCTTATTTGGAACCAAATGTCATACATTTCCAAAGGCTCTTTCAAAAACTTGGTGGACACGTCTTGTAGACCTTCAAGAAGCTTCCAAGAGTGCAGAACTTCATGCCCAAACTGTCTATGATACAAGGAACATTCATATTTTCCTCATTTGGTCCAAAATCAAGAAATAAATGCAATATCAATCAAGACTTTGATTGATTTAATATTTATTGTAATTATATATGTTAAAACGTGTATAGGGCCGCTCTCTATAAGCTCACTTTCACAATTGTAAACATCACGAATCAATTTATCAATAAATCCGAGAGTTTTAGTGCAAAGAGTGTCTTTGTTCATTTGGTTTGTCTTGTTGTTCTAAGGGTATTGTATGTGGTTTTCCCTTACCTAAGGTTCAAACGAGTCTTGTTCTTCTAGTGCGTGGAGTCCCCCAAGAAGTCAACAAGGTATTCCCGCACACAGATCAATCACCATCCGTCGGAGTTCATTTCTACCTTCATCCCCTCCATTTAAGCCGTAGACCTTGATCATCGTGTGATCATAAGTTTGGTTTGATTCAAATCTTATACCATTCTGCTACAATAAAAACATAGTCCTTGGTTTATATAGCTTCTGCTTTTGTCATAAATATAATTTGTATAACAATTAGTTGTTATAAGTACAAAGAAATTAGTGACTGAAAGATATTAAACTTGTAAGTATCTGTAGTAAATATTGACTGCTTAAATACAAATATTTCTTGTAGCACATTACTACTAAATACTAAATAGTGACAAGATATTTGTATCAAAATTTAACAAGAAATATCTCGTAATAATGCGTTGCTAATGTTTCTCCCAAATTAGGCTATATATATATATATTTAAATCTTTTTCTTACTAGTTTTTATTATAGCAAAACAACTGTTGTTGTAGCAAAAAATAATTGCTACAAATATTTGTCGCAACACTAAAACATTTGACTATAAACATTGTGAAAGGTCAAGTCTGCATTTTGCAATAATGTCCAACCACATTTATTGATACAGATTTTTGGTGGCAAACCGAGAAATTAATAAATAATTTTTATTTCAATGTGTGTAGCAAGATCTCTCAATCAAGTACAAGACCTCATAGTAATTTAATCCTAACCATATGTGTGCACTTTATTATAAGCATATAAGATTTGAGTTATTCTTATTTTAGCAATAGATTTTTTTATATTTTATTTTGTAGAGACAAAGATAATGAATTGAGCATTCCATGCTACGTGTATTGAGAAAGTGATGGAATTTATGTGGATAGAAGGGCACAATAAATTAATGTAGAAATTCAAAAGCAGATCGACGTCATCTCTTAAGCTTCTGATGGGGTAACTAGTGAATGCTCATAGGTCACACAACTTGATGATGATGAAATGTACTTAAAAGGTATTAGTTTATTGTCTTCCTTAGACTCCATGTTATATGGTTTGTATAAACGTTCAAGGGTTATGTTTTTTTGTGTGCTTTGAATGAACTTAGGTAGATACTTAGTATGGGAATCATTTGTTTTCAAAACCTATTGTCTTTGGCTCTTATATTATATCTCAATTAGTTAAGTTTATGAATACATATTGTAATTAAATGAAAGTTTATGAAAATGTATTCTAAGTTGTCTAATTTTTACAGTACATATCAGCTAAGAATTGAAAGATCTTTGGACTTGGAGAACATCATTCTATTTATGAGCGAGGAGAAAGCTATGTTGGTGTAATAGTCAAATTTTCCTTAGAACGACAATTTTCTACCTTGCCGCAATAGCAGGCTACTCTAGTCGAGTACATGAAGCAGTATATGCCGGAAGGAGCACATACCAACTTCCGCTATGCATATCCCACATAAGACACATAAGTTTTTGTATCAGGGCCATCTTGCTTCAACAACAATGTTGACAATTCTATCGAAGCTGGAGTTGATCTTCATAGTAATCCAGAGGAACCATTGGCTGAAGTAATCAAAGAAGTCCCTAACCAATTCTCCAATGAGATCAACCAGTAAGATGACAATGATGATGAGGAAAATATTGGTTCCCTGTCGTGATGAAAATTCTCTGATTTTAGACCTCCTTTCTCTCTTATTAATTAAGACTTATTTAGCTTAAAGAAAGCTAATCAAACTCTCTATTGAATGTGTTCAGAAGCTTTTAAAACTCTACTGAATGTTTGCTTTTGGGTTGAATGTTTGAAACAATGTATGATATTAATATGAAAAAAATCTGCTAATTTTGGTATCAAATATTTGGTACAAGATTTATATAATTTGCCTTTTGTAATAAATTGGCACCAAGAAGAGTAGTATTTTCAAAAATTTAGGTATTTTGTCACAAATAATTTGAAACTTTCTGAAGTAGAACTAATTCTATATCATAGCTAGTCGTAGCAAATATTTGAAACTTTGTGACTATACGAAGCAATTTTCTATCAAGTTTATGAAGCTAATGTCTCCTAGTAGATAGATGCTTTACGACAAACTAGTTGGTGACTATGTCAATCATTTTGCTACCAAATTCTCTGTTGCTAATTCTCTACGTAAAAAACGGATATTTTGTATCAAAATTGTGGTAATTTGTCACAAATATATATAGTGGTGCACAGCAATATCTTACAACCAAACGGAAGATACTTGTTGCTATTTTGTTACTACGAAAGAATGGAAATTTGTTTACCGACCATATAAATCACCACATGATCT